CACAGCCAGTGACAGATGGGTTTTGATGACCAGCTTTTGTCTTTAGAAACAAAAGTGTAGTGTTTATTTCAGCTTTTAAACCAGGTTAGTGAAGAGCTGTTAGCAGTACCAGGTGCTGTGCAGCTGTTTGTTTGTATAATTTAATATTTTTTATGCTGTTACTGGTCAGCAAAGGAAAGGTGGGATTGGAGCTACTGATATTTCCAGAAAATGGGCTATCAAGGCTGGCAAACACTTATGTCCTCAGGATTTCTGCTCAGCCTCCCTGTTAATTCAGCTTTGTTTTGCTGTTGGCTCCTAGCTTTTGCTGTTGCAGTTCTCCATGGGCCAGCACAGGGGCTTTTGACACACTGAGGGCAGCATTTCACTGGCATCAGTCCCTCTTTGTAAGCTCTCAGATCTGCCTGTAACTCAGGAGGATGAAATTATTTCAGATCCTGAGCATCTTCTGAGTTTTCCAGTACTACTTATTTTCCCTGTTTCCAGTCCTGCAGTTTCCCACCACCACTCAGCAGGGTCGTGTGGTCTGTGTTTCCTCAGCAGGGGCTTCCCGGGCTGCTCTGCAGCATGGACATTTCCTTGGGTGACTTGACACTGAGGTTTCGGTGTCATTTGGCTGTTGTGTCATACTGCAAATGAGTGATTGGCTTGTCTGGTTTCCTTGCTGATTCCCGGCAGAGCTGTTTGCCTTCTTTCAAATCATGTATCACTTTAGTCTGACCTCCACCATAGTCTGGCATTTCTGTAGTGCCTCATTTACTATAGATGTGTGATTATATGTGATTTTCTGTCTTAAATTGTTGCTTTTTTAGAGTTAGGTTTTATCTGTTACTGTTGCGGACGACATCTAGAACCGTGATGGAGGTGCTCAGAAAACTTGGAGGCAAATGAGAAGATTTCTAAATTTATTCATCCCTTGAACTCCTTCAGCTGTGATGGTTTCCATACTCACGGATATGTTACAACTTCAGGTGATCAGGGGTGAAAGCAAGAACTGTAGGGATGGTGAGCTCTGTGATACCAAAAGCCAGATTAGACAGCACCAGTGTTTTTTTGGTAGTTGTGTTCTCTGGCAAAAATAGATCTGAAATGTTTTCAAAGGCTGGGTACAGAATGAGACCCATAAATAGGTCCTGTAAACCTGAATTGCAGAATCAATCCTCAGTAGTTGCACTTAAAAACGGTGAGCCATTCATGCTGCATATATTCACACATGAGTGTACTGCCATGAAATTATCACAGAACTGGAACTAACGCAAGCTGAAATGGAAAAGTCATGCCAATGGAAATAATAAAAAGAGGAGTTCTGCCCCTAAAAATGCTGCAATGTAATTGCTATGAAAATCTGCATGTCTTTACAATAACAAAGATCTAATTTCTGCAAAACTTTGCCATATGCGTATTTTTACGTCCTCCGAGCAGCCCCTGGCACCCACAGGCCTGTGCACTGTGAGTGAGGGGCTGAGGCCTTGCTGAGTGTTCAGTGTTTCAATGCACATGGATCTTTTCCGGAATTGAAAACATCTTTTATTCCCCGGGCTGAGCTGGCAGCCGGCACAGAAGGCAGTCTGCTTTATGTTTATCAGTCCAGGGAGAAGTCAGCTCTTGTGAGTGTATCTCTCATCTGCCAAGAACATCAATAGTAACTTAACTATCTTCCACCCTTTTTTTTTAAAATTACTTAAATATGGCCATTCAGGGAAGTATTTAATTCTTTAAATATGGCAAGGAAGATATCAGTGAATTGAGGGTAGAGGGTTTAACCTTGTGATACCAAATCTTGGCTGGCCACTGCCAATGGCTGGATGCTGTGTGATTTGTCCTGGGAGGTGCTGTCCCCCCTTGTGTGGACCAGCTCCAAACAGGGAATCCCATTTCGCCATGTCCTCCTTGTCCCTCAGCACAGGGGGATGCTACCTGCATGGTAGAGCTGTTTTGGGGTACCTGCAGAGGATTCACCTGTGTTTTTTGGGAAATATTGCCCTGTGCCATCATCTGTGTGGAATATATTCAGAGAGAACAAGAAGCTTGGTCCTGATGCATTCATTAAGCTATTCAGTTCCTTTTAATTAGTCTAATTTAAGTTGTGGTGTAGGTATGTAAAATGGCCTTGATCATTTTGGGCTTGGCTGAAACCCTCTGATCCAAGGCTGTAAATAAACCCCTGGCAGTGAGTGAAAGCCAAAGGGCTTTTGAAGGGTCTTCTCAGATGATTCTTGTGCCCATGTGTGGAGAAATGGGGATGTATAAAAGGTTTCTTGAGTATCTGAGGAAAATATGAAAGCCTGTAATGGTGTATTTTACCTTCAGAGTTTCTTAGTTACTAGAATTCTAGGAAGAAAATTTCTTGCATAAATTTTGGCAGCCCTTTTCACTAACTGAATACCAGGTTTATTACTGTATGAACTTGATAATTAGTTTGTAATCCGTGCATAGGCATTTCATCCTGGTGGTTTTCTTGCAGAGAATAATTTGCCTTTTATTTGTTGAGAGTAGTTTTTTTAGTGAAAACAGAACTCCCATTCATGATGGGCACAGCAAATGTAGTAAAACACTATCATAGCTGGGATTTGTTGTACACTATGGATTTATGTCAAGAATGTTAATGATTTGTTTATGAATAAGTGAGCCTGTAGTATTGTGAAACAGTATCTGGCAGGGCTGCTGAATGGACATTTTGAGAGCAGAGGATTCTTCAACTGAATAAGCTGTAGATATTTGTGTGTCTCAAACTACTCATAAGTAAACTTATGTATTTTAAACAGAAGTGTTTATTTAATGCATTATCATCAATGGTGCTCATCTGACAGATATGTATGAGCCACTTGATAACAAGCAAAGAGGTAGTTAAGTACTTTTTAAGAGCAGCTAATCTTCTTTTAGTGGGCTTTAGTTTAAAGTAAGGTTTTCTTCCGGAAAGCAACACAAATCCTAAAGCAGAGTGGTGTGATGTTTGCAGAGTGGATCAGGAAGGTACTCTGGTTTTGCAGTGTCTCACTTGGGTGTAGCACCTAGTTCAACAGAGCTGCTTGAATTTATGGATAAAGTCACTGCTTGGTTTCCAGTGTGTTGTATAGTCCCAAATACCTTCCTGACAGGGGCTTGGGATGGGTTTACTGCTTTCTTCTAATGCACATTTTCTTAGAAGAATACCTTCTGATAGGCAGGGGAGGTGGTTCATTATCTTACATGAGTCTGAAGATCAATAATTATCTCCTGTGTCGGGAGTACTTGAGAGAATAGAAACACAGTCCATCAAAAGAATAATTTGGGGGCTAAATTGAACCTCATCCCAGGTAATGTTTCCTTGCATTGCTGGTTACAATTTGCAAAGTCAGAGTGTTGGATCTAATCACTGATATGACAAATCTACTGACCAACAACTGATGTCCAACAGGACAAAGTGAGAGCTCTGTCATTGTTTTGGACTCCTAATGATTGTAATGTTTATCTTCTCTCCAACCATCCTTCCTGTAATGAGTTTTGCAGCTGGTTAAATGGATTGTCACTCAAGTGAGATTCATGCATTTTTAAATGTTGCTAAGCCTCATGAAAAATATGACACTCTAGCAGGAAGCTTTGCTATGTGGCTTCGTGCAACATGGGCAGCTGAGCCCAAAGCAGAGGGACTTTAGAGTTGTATTCAGAAAGTGTCAGAGGCAGTTGGTGTTGTGCATCCAGGCTGCCATGTGCAGCGTGACTTAACTCTGCCTGATAAATTATGACATTTCTTGAAATAGTGCCCTGTACTTTTTAATGAGCTGGGCTATCAGCTCTGCATCAGTGGATGGTTAAAATGAAGCAAGAATTGCTTTAACATTAAAACTGTGCCTGGAGGACTTCTCTGAGAAATTGCTTATGATTATTAAGTGAATATAATACAGTAAGACAACCTTGCTTCTTTGCTGTTCTTTTTTTCATAGCAAGTGCAGTTTCGGAAGTTGAAAAATGTACAGATGGAAAGTAATGTTTAAATGGGAATGGCTTTGAAAGTTGTGCTGTGCTCTCTCCCTTTGAATGGGGATAGGGAAAAGAGGTAAGTCACTGTATATTGAGATGAAACTTTTATGGATGAATTGGATTTCCTCTAAATATGATTTGATCGTGTACCAAACAGAAAAGAGGCTGAAGGCAGAGCACTTTATGTGCTGAACTGCAGAAGAATATCTTCCAAACCAAATGGAAAGGGCCAAAATGAACCTTGCATTGTTCATTCCTTCTGCTGTGCATGCACACTTAGAGCTAAAGAAAGGGAAGGGCAGCATCCTCTGTGAGGGCTGATGAGGAAGCAGCTGTGGGGTCGCTTGGGTTGCCTGCAGCCTACGCTGCTACAGGGAAGCTGCACTTGTCAGGCAGGTCGGAGGCCTTGCAATAGGTGGCTCTGCCAAGTCACCACTGAGATTTACCCGTGTCCAGCCTATGTTATTTCTTCAATGGTGCACGTGTTGCTGCCTCTGTTTTCAGAATTACCTCCTGTTTCTTCCCTAGAATCATCTCTGAGGTGGTGTTTCAGCAAACAAGTACCCCCTGACTCCAGCCCAGCAGCACACATTCAGGGATAAAGGCGAGGAGGGAAACTCAATGGAAACTGATTTGTTCTCTAGATAGGCACTTACACCCTTTTTCCACTCAGATACTGCACCATTAAACGCTATTAAATATTGGCAGCTTCACAGTAAACTGCATTTGTGATTTCTCTACTGTATAAGCAGAAAAGGCAGTCCCAAATCTCCTTCAGGAATGGCTTTACTCTGCCAGGTTGGGAACATCAATGATAGCCACCAGAGTCTTTTACTTTCTGACTACAATGGTGATAAAACATGAAAGTGGAAGTGCTCATGTTGTTGAGCATGAGTTGGAACTAATCAGCTTTCTACAGATGCTACAGGGAAAATAGATCATAACACATAGCCCTGTTTCCTGAACTGGTTGAAGCTGTTCCTCTTTTAATCTTTATAAAAGTGAAGGAGCACCTTGTCATGGTTTTCAAATGATTTCTAACCCATATTTAAAACGAATTATTTTTTTAAAAATCTATGTTTTAGCAGAAGCCCTTATCATTCATTTTTTCATTGTGTGTCAGTCCCAACCCTTGGGCACCCTGTGTGGATAAGGATGGCATACACTCCCCTGACTTGAACAACAGACAGTGCTGGTAGTTTGGGTTCCTGTTTCTGCAGGGATTTGCTGTGGCTTCAGCCTCTGATTTTTCTCTGTTGTTCTGTAGATGACACTGAGATGCACATGATAGCCAGCGAGTGCTTCAGGACAGGGAAACAGCAAAACTTGGAACCCTTGAATTGTGGTGGTTTCTGGATTGTACCCAGGAGGGAACTGGCTTTGTTGAATGATCAAAGGTCTCCTTCTCTCATCAGCTGCTGGGAATGGAGCAGCCAGATGTTTATGTAGGCGATTGTCTTGTAAAACTGTAGAATTGGCTTGTGCAAATAGCTGTGCATGCAAAACTTGAATGATGTTATTTCAGAGACTTTTCTAATGTCATCTGAAAATCTGTTCCAGTCAGACAACCTGGGATCCAAAATCGAAAAAAATCAAACAAGGATACCTTCTGTTCCTCAAGCCATCTCACTGTAAAAATAGTGTCATTGGCTTAAAGGTTGGTCTGTAGGAGGGGAACTAGTGGTGATTAATTGATGAGGAGTTAAAGTCCCCTCTGAAAATTTGTGACTTCAGCTAACAACTTGCTGAAGATTTTCCACTTTTGAGGTTATCTGTTTCAAGCTTTGCTTCTGGACTAAAATGGCATTCTTTCTTTAAAAAATGAAAATATTTTACTTGTGGTGGTCTCCCAAGTAACTTACCAACAGTACAAACATTTTTGCAGACTTTCCTCTAAATAAGGGTAATGCTTGGAAAGCAGGAAAACAGCCATCTGTCATCGAGCTCAGAATTACCCCTCAGCAAGCCAAATGTTCATTTTGAGTGTTCAGCTCTGACTACCTTTGGACTCCCCAAGTGGAGACCTAGAGGCAAAGCCTTATTTTGTGCCCACGTGGAACGTTTTGTGCCGAGTGTTCCTGGTTCGGGTGTAGGCAGAGCAGCTTTGCAGTGGGCAGTGTTTGGGATCTCAGCAGCTGCAATGAAGCTCTGAGGGAAGCGTGTGGTGGCGAGGCACAAGTCTTGTGGAGCTGTCACGTTGTGCCCTGGCTGCTGGGTGGCTCTGCTGATAAATGCTCTCCACAGTGGTTCCTTTCGGAGGACCATCCCAGCCATGGACTTTAATTGCTTTCTAAATGATCCTTGCTTTCCAAACATAAGAAACTGCATTAAACACTTGGAACTAGAGAGTTACTTTTCCTAAAAGTATTTGTGGAAGAAGGAAACTTCAAAGATTCCCTCGAAAAGTCTTCTGTGAATTTTTCATTGCAAAATTGAGGCTGACCAATAGAGAAGTGTCACTGGAGATTCATATTGAATCCCTGTGTACAGTCACCCATCTGCCTCATATTTGCATTTTACCTCTAAGTGTTTGGGTTTCTGTTTTTCTTTTCGTTAAATTACTGTTCTTGACGATACCCAGTATGGCTTGGAGATCCTTCAAAGAACTGTATGGCCATTCTGTATGCACATACCTTAGATAAGCAGAGGTGAGAAGCCATCAGTAAGGCTGCAGCATGAAGAAGTTAATGAAAAAAATGAATAATAAGATTGATGTCCATTGTGCTTAATGGTCAGAATGCAAGTAACAAGAGCTGCAAATCTGGGCAGAAAGACATGCTATAAAAAGCATTATCTCAAGATTAAGAGGACACATTTTTGCATGATAATCTACTGGATTTATTTTGACACTTATTTATATGTAGTGGTGGTTATGAAAGTGGAATTTTTAGCAGTCTCAGTGTAATTACAGAGGACTGAATTTGTAAAGCTACTCAAACATTTTGCATCAGACTTGAGTATTTTCTTTCAGCCAAATATATGCCTTTTCTTTATTAAAGGAAATATTTTTCTTGATACTTTTTTCCCCAGAGGAATGACTAATAGGTATTCACAGGATTCAATACTTTAATATTTTATCAGAGGCCCTTAAATTCTTTTATTCCCTTCTCTTTGTGGGTAAATAATTTAGATTTCAGCTGCATCAAGTTTGATAAAAGCCACCGTGTTAACATCTCCTGCAGAATTACTGCTCTGTGTGCTTTGAGGGTTGCTGGAATAACTGCATCACTAATGCTGCGAGGTTAAATTGAATGGGGCAAAGGAGAAAGACAGTGGGGAAATGCTGGGCAGGCACTTAATTTATTTTAATTTTGTTGGTTCTTTCACATCTGTTTAACTAGCTGCCTGACACAGGCAGGCAGGGGTCTGTTAATGTAGTGGGTATTCAGAATATTTCTATCTTACCTTGCAGGAATATATTTTAGATCTGCATCTAAAGAAGCTCTGGGCTTTAACATCCCAGGTCCCCCTCCTTAGATCTTGATGTTCTATATGAATTCATTTGCTCTATGCGTAAAACATGTTAAAACACTGCTTGAAATAATTGACAGGGTTTGCATGAACAAACAATAATAATAACCCCTCCTCCCTGACAAACAACCCTCTCATCTACATTCCTGTTTCTTGTGCAACTTCATTTCTCAAAGTTGAGCCCAAACTTGAAAACACAGCTTTTTTTCAATGCAAACTTATATAATTTGTAAAGAGGATGAGAATGGATGGTGTTTGTGGTGATGAACAATCAATAGAATGGGGAGGAAAGTTGAGACTACTGAGAATAAGGATATTCCTCTTTGTTGCTGAGTGGAATTCTTTATTCTTTAGATCTCTTGTGTGTAGAAACTTGTAAGTTATTGCTCTGTTGGACAAAGTTTGGAGCAGATTGGACAAAAGTGAGAGTATAATTACTGGAAACAGAGGAAGTAACTTTCACAATGTAAAGATGTTGAATGATGATCCTTGTGCATGCCTAAAGTTTTCCAATTCTGCTGGTCTTGCTGGAAGGAAACATTTGGATAGTTTTGAACTCTTCCGTTTCCTTTAGTTAAACAATTCATTATTTCCATCATTCAGTGCACCTAATTTCATTGGCATTGTTGGAGTGTAAGACCAAGACAGTCACCTCTCTAAGGAGTGGTAGCAATTCCTCATGTAGGTGCAGGTAGTAGCACATATAAAGCAGCAGTAAAGATGAGGGTAATTCTGTTCCTGTTCAACTTCAGATTGTTTTGCCAGAGCCTTCAGTGGAAGCAGGTTTGATTTTTTTTTTTTTCATGGCATATGAGATTGCTAAAGGCTGGGATTTGGTTATGAATGAGCACGTGTTTCCAGAATGGAATTACTTGGAATGAGTTTGTTTAATGGATTGTGGGTTCCTCCAGAGTGACGCTGCAGCGCCTGTGTGAGGAGTTAGCTCTTGTTAATTGGTCCCATATGCCCTGGCAGATAGTGTATTAACCATGCCTTGAGGGGATAAGGGCATCTGGTTGAATCTCATGGTGCATATTTTATTTCCTTTCTGGAGGGATTTGCTTTTTTTTCCTTGTTTTTTTCCCCCACTCTTTGTTCTTACAACTGAAGATATGTATATATATGTATAACCACTAGTGTTTTGAAACTTAATGCTAAGCTAAGGGATTAGTTAAGCTTCTGCAAAATTATCTGAACTTTGCTGACAAGAAAAGAGGAAGAAACTGAAGTTTTATAGAGAAGCTGGAGTTTATGAATATCTCCGAGTTTGAGCAATTAAATTGCAAGAAGTCAGAAGCTTAATCTCAGCCTTGTCAAGCACTGAGGAATTGTTCTTTGAAAATGAGAAAAATTGAAGAAAAGATTAATTACTTTTGGAAAAACCTTGAAAACACTATGCAGATTTAACCTTTATATCTGTAGGATGTGGATATTGGAGAGCTGTCCTGCCCATGGGCCCTGCTGGCCTTAAAGAAGGGGAGTGCCATCCTCAGCCATTTTATTTGACTCATTCTGAAATGGACAAAGCAGAGTAATTTTGCATCTGGCTGTCTTGGCTCAGCTTAACAAGTAAGGTAGTTGCAGGAGAAACAGGAATGTAAATGA